TCCACCGTACTTGCGTTTTCAGGGCCTGGGCGATGACTTCAGCACCAGAAACCTGCTCCTCGTCTCCGTCGCTACGTGCGGCTCTGTTAGTCTCCGACATCTTCCACCTAAAACTTCGAGATACTCTCGCAGTCAAACATCAAGCTGACACGTAGACGCCCAGCAAAATAAAGTCTGGGGGACAGCCGCTCACCAATTGTGGAAACCGCTCCTCTGACTGACAAGGAGGAAGGCAACCAACCAATTTGAAAAGCGGGAAGGAAAAGGCGGGGCTTAAATCCGTCCGCTCGCAGCGTGAGTTGAGAATGTAAACACACTCCTCCAATCAGAGCCGTGCCCTTTTTCCAGCTCCTCCATTCGCGGGGCCAGAGTGCCAGAAGGAGGCGGGACTAGCAGGAGGCTGAGACCTATGCCAAGCAGGTGAGACGCCGTACCTCTGAGGCCTCTAGCTCCTCTGTGCCTACCCTCCGGAGGCATTTGGGGGTTCGCTAAGGCGAGTGGAGCACACGCAGAGTAGGAGCGGAAGGAGGGCTAGGAGCACTAGCGGAAGGGGGCGTGGCGGGCGCTCTCGCCTCCGCCCCCCCCCGGGCGCCCTAAGGGCCTAGGCAGGTTTCGCAAAGGCTGCTGGGACCCGGGTGGGCTGGGTGGAGCCTAGTCTAGTGCAAAGTTGAGTTTCGGTCGTATTGTGCTTGTACGTCTGCTGTGTACTAGGCGTTTACTACACGCTTTTTGGTTTACACGCTCTTTTGTAACTAAAGAAGTTTCACAACTATGTAGTTCGTGAAACATAGTCAATAGTACACGTCAGTTAAATCCATAAACGGATTTGCTCTTTATCCCAATATACATGGGGACACCGAATTTCCTAACCAAAAAACAAAGTAATTTTGCCCAGAGCCATTGAACCCATCCCATTCTTCAGAATCCCCAGCTTGTACTCTACTCACTGTTTAGCCCTTAGGCTACAAGAGACAAGAAGGAACCCTTGAACCTAGTTACATTTGACCATTGTTTTCTCTAACCCTTGCGACTAGCCCACTCTTCCTCTCCACTCTCCATTCTTGTCTTTCCAAAGTCAGGAAATGTGGGTTTTCATAATTTTTAGATTTAGTCCCTGTCTACCACCAGTCCCTGTAGCTTGATAACCTTTTAAAACGCATTTTTGAGCGAAAAAGATGTTTGTAGTGCAATTTCTGAGGGTGTGGTCTCCGTCCAGGTCCTGAAACCACCGGTTCAGTAATAAAATCTCCATAACAAAGAGTGGAACTTTAAATTTTTGAGGATTTGGAGTGTTTCAAAGCAAAAAGGCAAGTAATATGTGGAAGGTAGAGGAGAAGGGAGTGGATCATGGGTAGAGGAATGAATGAAAAGCACTGGAAGTGAAAGGATTTCTAAATCCAGAGATTTTCCAACTGTAGTCATGGGCCCTTCCAAAAGGTCTTCTTTTTGGCGGTTCAAGCCCTAACCTCCCACTCTAAAGACAAGAGAGTGAAATAGTTACCTCCCTGGATAGGGGACCTAGCCTGAGGTAGCCAATCAAAGTGGGAGATTTCTTTGATGTCTCAGAGTTCCTCTAAAATATAAATGCAGGTGTTGCATTTCCACTCCAAAATGTATCCATATTTTAATATAAATATTATCTTTTTATGAGGTAAAATAAACATGCAATTAAATGTACAGGTCATAAAGAAGTTTTGACAATTGGCTATACCTATGTAATTGCCACCCAAAATAAAAATGACATTTTAAGCTTACCAGTCAAGTGAAATTGATGTTCCAGAAAGATGCAAAATGTTCTTTGTGTGGCTTTGAATAGTCCTGTTCTTTGTCTCCCGTCTCTGAGAAGCATGGACCTCCTCTATCAGGTAGTATTGTTTATATCAACACCTATGTGAGAGTCTGTACTACCATTGTATCAGAATCACTTGGAAAGCTTTTTAAAAATGCAGTTGCTTAGGCCCTACACCACATCTTCTGAATCAGTGAGTTAGGACAAGTTAGGCACCTGTATATTTTTTAAAGCTGCTACCTAATTTTGATTTGCAGCCTGACTTGGGAACCCCTAGCTCTGTATTCATGGTTGAGGCATTAGTTAACAATGAAATGTGTGACTGCCTGTTACCAAAGTAATACTGTTGATTCGTTTGGATTTACAGGTTCAAGGCTACTTGTTTGACATTGGCAGCACAGACCGTGTAGATCCTTAGTCCATTCATGGGACCTTGTGTCTACTTCTGTGTCAAAACAATCATGGACAAAATGACTCCACATAAAGTGTGGTGAAAACTGTGCCATGAATTGGAACAAGTCCCCTGAATTTAGATTAATGGGTTTTACAAAAAGGCTAAATTCTCAACTGACTGGATTCTGGCCTTTAGCAAGGGGAAAAGTCAATGAGACTATTTAAACTTGCTTTCACCTTTGTATCTTTGGTTCAGGGTACAACGTTCCACTGTGTACTTGGTCGGATGATTCAGCAGAAGTGATCCTTGTCCCTAGGATTAGCAAGCCCTGAGAGCAACTCCTTTCCATCCAATTGTGATTACAGGATTCTGCTGTGATTTATCCAGGCCCTTCCATGCAAACTTTGTAAGCATTAACCACATTCTTTATTACTTTGGTGGTAGGCATGAATTTTATTTGGTGCATGTTTTATTGGAATTTTTTTGTTTGGTTTTGTTTCTTTATCCATGGAATGAGGTCAAAGGAGGAATAAGTCTGAGTTGTTTTGTTTTGTTTTTTTTTTTTAAGAAAAGGCTAACACAATGATAATATGCTCTCTAAAGCACAGAGCTGGGATGACTGGATGGCTCAGTTGGTTAAGTGTCTGACTCTTGATCTCAGCTCAGGTCTTGATCTCATGGTCATGAGTTCAAGCCCCACATTGGGCTTCGTGCTGGGTGTGAAGGCTACTTAAAGAAATAAAATAATAAACAAACAAACAAAGAGCAGAGGTGGTCATCAAAGTGTCTATGCCCAAGTTCATCTGGGTAAAGAGAATATCCAGGCAACCAGGTAACTTATTAAGAGTTGCAAATATAGTGCCTAGAGAAAATATATTCTCTAAAGGCAGTTTCTAAAAGTAATAGTAACTCCTCAGGCCCCCAAATTATGATAGTATGTTTTAATTTCAGTAAACAAAGACACTAAAAATCCTTGTGATTATTTAAAAAGCAAAACACCAGCTGAACCTATAAGAAATTGTCTCACAAACCTATGTTATCAAGATGTGAAGTGTTTGGTTATCAAGTGAAGAAATGAATTAGGGTTATTTGTGATATAGAATGGCTGAAAAGAAAAGAAAATTGGCTGAAATAAAAGAAAGCTGAAACTAAGTACCTTAAAAACAAACCAAGAGCAAGCAACAATAACAAAAAGAAAAAAGGATATCTATGTAGAATACTCTTTTTAAAACCAACACTGAAAACCGTACAGCAAGAAATGTGCTATAAAAAAAATGTGTGAACATAATTAGAGCAGAAAATAAAATATAAAATAAAATATTCTTTGAATAAAATAGGTTAAGTTGATCTTTGCTTCTCATTAAATTGATGGACTGCAAAGTACCAAAGCTCAGAAATAGGCTTGAAGCAAAACCAGTGAAAAGCAGTTTTATTATTGAGGTGTCTGGGACAGGTTTAATGCCTATTACTGGGAGACGGGTACTCGGGGACGGGTACTGGGTTTTTTTTCCAGTTGTCTGTGACCTAGAGAAAGGTTGGATTTCTGCCCTTGGCTAGGACACACAAGCACCTTTTCTCTACATTTGAATGCCAGCTAGACCCAGACCTGGAGTGGGAAACGCAGTTGGGCAGAAACTGAAGAAACATTGTGTCCCTCTTATTGCTGTGTCTTCGTCCATTGTGTGTTTGGTTGTTTGTTTGTTTTTTTTTTTCAATTTAAATTTGGGGTGGTTTGACTTCAGCAATCGTTAAATCACTAATAAACATGTTACTTTATGTAAAGCGCACCAGAAAATGGTGACAACTGTGTGTCATGCTATGAGGATGTAAGAGATTTATCTCAAGTGGCTTAGAAACCGTAATCCAATATTTCTCAGTATGATAGAACCCCACATTTGGGGGTGGCCCATGGTGGGGGTGGGGTGGGGGACAGCTATCACTTATGAAAAGTGGTAGCAATAGTTCAATGCTTCTGTTTTCATTTGTTTCTTCTGTTTTGCCATTAGCCTTCATTACAGTCCCTTTCCTTAGCTTTTAAAAGTGTACCTTATTGTTTTGTTTTGCTTTTAATCTGTTCCTCATGTGAGCAAAACAAAGAATCCACTCTGGGGCAGAATCTCTGAATGACTCCCGGGGTTCTGAATGGAACGGCTGGGGTGTAATCCCAGGTGAGGGACATCTTCCTGATTAAGAGTTTAGGCCCTTGAACTTCCTTCTGTGTCATAACCTTTGAGTTCCCCTTCAGAGCTTACCTGTGACATTGTTTTATTCAAAGTTTGTTTATATTTAACATTTATGGCATCTTTCAAACCCATGAATGGGAACAGAGATGGATTCATACACATGTACCCAGCCCCGAGCTCAAGAAATTCATTAAAAATACAGTGAAGTTGGGGCGCCTGGGTGGCGCAGTCGGTTAAGCGTCCGACTTCAGCCAGGTCACGATCTCGCGGTCCGTGAGTTCGAGCCCCGCGTCGGGCTCTGAGCACAGAGCTCGATGTGGGACTCAAACTCAGGAACCATGAGACCATGACCTGAGCCAAAGTTGAACATTTAAACGACTGAGCCACCCAGGCACCCCTCACATTATCCATTCTTTACTGGATGGACATTTAGGTTATCTTTAACTTTTCATTGTTATAAACAAATTTCTCTAAACATTTTTGCATGTCCCCTGGTGTGCCTGTGTGAGTTTTTATGTATATGTGGCTAGGGGCGGGTCACATCAGTGTTACTAGATATTGCCAAATTGGTCTCCAAAGTTACTGTACCAATTGATATTCCCACATTCTGTTTATAAGAGCTCCCCTTTCTCCACATTCTCAATCATGAAATTTTAAATTTTTGCCAATCTACGTGAATGTGAAATGGCTTCTCATTTGCATTTCCCTGACTACTAATGAAGATACAGGTATAGATATGCCATCTGGGTTTTCTTATTCTGTCAATTGCCTCTTTTATATCTTTT